GCAATGAGCGAGATGAGGGCGATCGGCGCGATCTTGACGACGGCCGACATCATGCTGTTGAGGATCGTCTCGAGGCCTTCGAGGAGCTGCAGCAGTGGTTTGACTTGGGCGAGACCGACCGCGAGGCCAAACACCATGGCAAAGATCACGATACTCATGACTTCGTTGCGGTACCAGGCGCCGACAAAGTTGCCGGGCGTCAAGAGCAGCAGGCCGTGTAGAATCTCTTGGGTTGTCGACTCGTAGTAGACAAGCTTGCGAATGTCCGGCGCCAGCACGAGCTGCTTGGTGTCGTCATAGAGCGGAAAACCGTTGGCTTTGAGCTGCTTGGCCGTCATGTTGGCGCAGAACAAGGTGCCGTTCTTGTGCGCGCCAAGGGTCAAGCCATTCGTGTTGGGGCACTTGATGGAAAACGAAGAGTACTTGAACTTGTACTCAGCGCCGTCGTACTTGTCGGCGAAGAGGTATCCCCACGCCATGGCCTGCGCGACGGCCAATAATGTTGTCCCAAACGAGTAGGCGAGGAGCCGCCACCCCATGCGCGTCATGCGCGGACTTGCGACAATGTCGGCGACTGCGCGAGCGAGACTCACAAACACGATCGGCGACAAGAGACAGCTCACAGCGCGGAAATAGAGCGCCCCCCAGCGCACGATAAGCTTCTCGGCGTAGTCGTACTGCTTGAGCTGCGACTTGACCGAGTCCGTGGCGAGAAAGAGCCCAAGGCCAAGGCCAATGGCCGCACCGAGGAGCGTACCAGGCGCACCGACGTAGTAATGCGTCCACGACCGGCGGGTGGCACCTTCGTCGTCAGCATTGTTCTCCATCGTAGGAGGCTGCTGGTGGCGGGCCAAGGCCGTGCCGTCGCTTACGGTGGGCGCAAAGAGCGAGTCGGCGGCGATCGACCCCGTAATCGACGACTTGCGCTGCGACAGGATCTGCAGGTCGTACGACTCGAGCGAGTGCTCGTCTTTGGTCGCGAGCATCGGTATGTGGCTCATTCGAGCTCGTGGGCGGTGACGACCGAATTCCAAAATGACCAAGTTGCCATCGTCTCAGAAACGAAGCTCGTGCACCCGTGTATCGCAGGCCGCATAGCTGATGCCGGCGCGCCACCTGGATGGCACCGGGCGTGGAATCGACAGGATGGTACGCGTGGATTGGTCAAATTTGGTCGGCGCGACGAAAATGTGCAGGACATGATGCCCACGGCGTCATCCGTGGCCGACACCAGGATCCGACTTGCATGGCTTTGGCTGCGGGTGGATGGGAAAGAACGCGAGGACGGGAGCGACTTGTCCGTCCATGGGTGCTGCGTCCACGCTCTACGTACCAAGGTTGTCGCTGCAGATGCGCGGGACTACGCAGGAATGATTCGTGCACACATTGCAGTGCGATTGGCGTCGACCGGTTTGATTCCAGCACAGACTTGTGCTGGCGCCAGATGTGGTTTGGCTACGCCACATCTGGACAAGGACAGATTGGGCATGGAGTTATCGCCGACGACAGATTGCGCAGAGATCAATCGCTGTTTACCCTTCGGCGTCGCGCTTGCAAAGCTTATGACGTACACGGAGACGGAGATGTGCGCACCGGCCCTACACAAGTGTGCTTCTGCTTTGCCGCCGGGGATCTTGCCGAGTTGTTTTGAGGCCGATTTGGTTGCAACGCTGTACTATAAGATGCATTCTTCGTTGAATGTCGGACAAAAAAAGGGGAACCGAAGCGATTTCGGCCGTTCCACTGCATATTCGAGTATTCCGCAAGTATATACAGCTACGTACTGTATGTGCGGTTTATGAGTACAGGACACGGTTGTGTGTCGTAGCTACGATGTGTGCGACGCCAACGTGGTCGGGTGCTGCTTGAAGCGAGTTGCAGTACCCTTTACACGCAATCGAACGCGAGATCGAGCCCTATTATTCCAGAGACCAATCCAACGGTCCAGTCATGCCCGACGGCGTCCATTGGTACTCGTAGTAACTCTACACGAGGATTCGTATTGGTCGACGCGGGAATGGGCCGAGATACGAATCAGTGCGGCTTCAACGCCGACACTGCGCAAAAAGGACGTCGAGAAATGCAAAGTCGAACGGTGTCGACGCTACTATCTGCAAACGAGCACTTGCACTCGTATTGGGACCATGTCATCCTCGATCTCAAGCTGAGCATCGATGTTTGGTAAAAAAGATATATGGTCCAGGACCTGCAACAGGTCCTTCGTCGTCGTCGTGCACAGGCTGGAAACG